GGCAGTGCATTTTCGCATGTCGCGTGCGCTATGGAAACCGCTGGGAAGGGGTATCTTTGTTCAACAATTATGTCAAAACTAATAGACGTAGACTAATAAATTTACATTCGTTTTGTAGAATAGCTCAAATACTAATAATACAATGAAAATAATACATACCTTGACGACCTGCTTTTTCTTGTGTTGGAAAATAACTGAAAAAGAAGTGAAAAAAGTAATGTATTTTTCTAATTAAATCCATTCTTACTCCCATAAAATGTATGAAACTTGTATCTGCTTTCTTCTTCTATTAATAGATAATTTTATTGGCTATCGCATGATACAAAATATTTGCCTATTAATGTTAAGCTACCCACGCTTTCACTTGTTTTTTAAAGAAGAGGTGTAAACTAAAAATTAAAAACTTAAATCTATGTAATTTTTCGAGAAATGGGTCAGGCCCCAAATTTGAAGTATTTTCATCGATAAAATTGTCCATAGATTACGCCCTTAAAGTTTGATCACTACATGCCCGGACACACTGTATAACAAACTTTCCCAAAAAGTCAACCATTTATGAGATACTAGCTTTCCGGCCGCGGCTTCGCCCGCGTGGCATTTTGTCTGTCACAGAAAAACTTTATCGCGCGCGTCCCAGTTTCAAAAAAACGGGATAAAAACTATCCTATGTCCTTTCCTCGGACTCAAACTATCTCTATGCCAAATTTCATCATAATCGGTTCAGTGTTTTAGGCGTGAAAGCAAGACAGACAGACAGACAGAGCTACTTTCGCATTTATAATATTAGTAATAGTATAGATAGTATAGATTTTGATTTTAATTTTAACATCTTTTGCTTTATCTACTTAGAAGCCATGTGCAAGTGCTGCATTTTAGACAGTGCTTGGTGGTTTTGCTTCGTCTCTCTAATAAAATAAAAATGCTTCCTTATAATGCGACAATTCGATGTAAAAAAATAAGCGTCAAAAAACTATTTCACTGTTTTATTTAAAATCAGGGTAATTAGGCAAATTGGGGGACGGAGTTATTGGGTCGTCGTAACAGTTAGTTCGAGTGAGTCTACGCTATAATTAGAGGTACAAATTACAGGCTTCTATTTCTGCTAAAATGTGATATGTAATTAACGTTTTCGATATTATTAGTTTGCTGTGTGAACCGAATTACACCTTTCGAGGTGTCTCTTTGACGTGGGTTTGAGATAGGTATTATTATTCAAAATGTAGTAATTAATGGTACTTTAAATTTGATACCTGCTCATTACTTGAGAAATGTTATTTATATTTGATAAAGAATACGTGATAGCTGCAACTTTAGAATATCTGGGTATCTTATTCTTGCATTTAAAATAGTTACTCTACGAGTCTAGTAGTAGTAAAGTAGTGCCACTTTAACATTATTTTCGAAACAAAAGTATATTTTTTAAGTTAAGTTTTTGGGTCATCGTCATCTCTATGGCATTATCATAATAATTACGTAATGATAATATGATTAGCATAATATAATAATTATCTAATTGTACCTACATAATTGTACAGTTTAATCAGTCCCAAGTGAGTCAAATTTAATTACCCTCAGGCATTAGATGGGTAAGCTAAGTTATGTTTATGTAAAAAGCGATGCTATGCGACACAACGATACGTGACGTAGCGCTACGCGACACAACGCTACGGGACTCGTAAAAGGTCGTGTCGCCGTAGCGAAACCGCAAGAAGAGTATGTCGTTAATTTATGCTTCATCAACCATACCAACGCGTTGCAACGCGTGCAGATTACCATCACGGCGCGATCATAGTCCAATGACAGGTCGCGCGGACTGTTATGGGTCGCGCGACTTGTCATTGGCCTATGATCTGCACGCGTTGGTGTGGTTGAAGCTTTAAGCGAGCGAGTCATAATAAAGCTAGCCGAGTCGCGTTTTATTTATTTTTCATATACATGACATAAGTGTTTTATATTATCAGTGCGGAGTTAGAAAAGATACAAGATACAGGATGTCAATTACAGTTGACAGTACATCAGAATAAAATATTTTTATTGGAAAACAGCACTTCATTACAACTACTTAAGATGTCACAGAGTATACCTTATAGAGCCGTTATCTGCACAAGAGAGCTCTGACACAAGTCTTCGTCCCAGACAGCATTCAGAACCGAGAGAGAACCGCAAAAGGGTGGCTATTTACGTTTAAGTCAGCAAATTACTTTGTATTTGTATAGAGCGAAGGCCCTCAGGGTCCGTCGTACTCAAGTTGAATCGCTGGTTTAAAAAAATCTGAATGAAAACGAATTAAGAAATGCCTGTCGGCGGCTTGGATCTGTGGATCTTATTTAGTTAAATAAGGATAAAAGTTACCTGAAATTGCTGGTTTTCTTTATTTTTTAAATAACATTTTCCACGTGTTCGTAAGTCCGTTTGAATAAATCTCACTGTTTACTGTAGAATTGTAGAAGAAACAATTTTATTTGTTATTTCAAAACTTGATTCTATTTTAAGGACGTTTTTATATCAATTGGTTGAATTTCTATTCTATTTTTAAGTCACAATAGTGTTTTTAGTGTAATGACTAAATTTAGTATATTGAAAGAAATATCTAAAAGTTGTAGTGTAAAGTTAGCTGGCTCTGTTGGTTTCAACGTTGTTCCATTGAAAAGTTTGCAGTGTTTCATTCTCCAGGCCTTAGTTTCTGAACTCATTTCTACAGCATATTTGCTGTTACATACTTGTTCTTGAAATAGTGATTCCAATAGTTTCAATAGGTATACTTTTAAGAGTACACGACTCTATTTTTTTTATAACTGCCAAGGAAAAAACTTATTGATAAGTAAGTAGGTACTATCTACTTACATAATTATCTTACGTATCTCAATATACACAAAGGTGACTGACTGACTGACTGATTGACTGACATAGTGATCTATCAACGCACAGCCCAAACCACTGGACGGATCGGGCTGAAATTTGGCATGCAGGTAGATGTTATGACGTAGGCTTCCGCTAAGAAAGGATTTTACGAAACTCCACCCCTAAGAGGGTAAAACGGGTTCCACGTGTACGAAGTCGCGGGCGGCCGCTAGTGACATATTAAATATATTATGTATATTTTATGATTTCGACTACAACCTTTGTTGTTGTTTAAATGTGTTGTTGCAATATTAAGCTAAAATAATGCTTATTATTATGATGACTTCACATTTCAATTGTAACTATAAATCAAATACCACAGAATAACAGCGTCATGTTCTGGGTTTTATTTACCACTCCAGAGCATGACACATGCTGAGCGGTGGCCAATTTTGGTTCTAACTTGTACTTGTGTTTTGTTATCTGTGTGTCCAATTTTGGTTCTAACTTGTACTTGTTTTTTGTATCATTTTAAGTTGGAACCAAATAAATGTTTTTCTTTCTTTCTTTCAAATAAATGCCTTAGCAAAATCCGTACCATTCATTATACGGAACCCTCCTCGTATTTCCTTGAATTTTTCCAGATGTTTTGAGACTAAACAGAAGGTCCGGGCTTTGAAACTTGACTGTACACGACAGTAAATATCGCCCAGTTCCTATTAAACTTTGAAATGTACATAAAATAGGCGTGCACTTCTTTTTTGTTTGGCCGAGATATTCCTTGGTATTCCAGCGTGTTTTTCTAACGGTTGATCTTTGTTTGGTCTTATTTTGCTCGGGAAGACTTTGTAACTTGGTTAACCGTGTGTTTAGGTAGGAAACATTGTGTTGTGGCTTGAAAATTACGTATACGTACTTGAAGTGAGAGAATACAGTATTTAACTTTAAAATAACTTTGTAAGTATAGTAGGTTAATGATGTTCAAGGTAGTTACTGTAGAAAGTTTTATTTTGTTATTTATTTCATGGCAAGCTACAATTTTTTATAAAATCAAAGCTGGAGGTCAATAGACCATTTTATAAAATCATATTTGTGTCACGATTTTTTAGTTTTAAGATAATCTTATAAAAATTACTTCTTCAGGACGCTTTTCTGTAATGTAGATACCTATTTAATGATTTACATAGAATTTATTATTTTAATCACTTCAGCCTTGCTTTTGAAACAAAATAGTGTTTCTTTTGTCAGTAACTAGTAACTACACTTACAAAAGTATTTTGTTCTTATTAACTCGACTTTAGTTACTGCTTACACAAGAAAACAACTTGCAAACTGGGTTGTACCTACATAAAATGAAACCGGTAACTAGAAGCCTTATAACAAGTATTATTAAGCTCACTACTAACTGTTTTGCTATTTACCTGCTAAATACGCTATTGTTTGCATTTTCTCAATAAGTAAGTGACTAATGAATTATCCAAGCTATCCATATTTTGTGTATTTACTTATCCCTAATTATAATTAAAAATAGATTTACCAACTAGGTGTAGCTGAATAATTTTCAGACGACAGCACAGGCTGGATATTTTTAACCGTAGGCGCCATACATGACTTGAGATAGTCATAGCACAAGTCATAGTCATAAATGCTTATTGCATCATGTTGGTACCATGCCTATAAGGCCACTGGCCAGTCCAGGTACCTAGCTACCATTATTATACCCATGAATTTATATAATCAACCCCATCGGTGTACTCGCACGAACAAATTGTTTGTTTAAAACTTTGCATGTTCCATTCATTAATTTGATTAATTTGATTAATTCATCTCCTTTGTTTGACATTGTTCATTTTATCTGAGACAAAAGTAATTGTGTAATTAAAATACACTCAATTGCTGTACAGTCTCAACAACTCACGTGATTCAAGATCAACAAGTATATTTATTTAAAAACAATTTATAAATATCGAAATAAAATAATGGTCAATTTTTCGAAAATACCTTACTATAAATTGTTATCAGTAATCAGCCAATTAGTATGGGGACCAAATTTTTTTGATACTGGATTTGTTCCTTTATGAAAGTTATTTTTGTTTGATCGCCCACCAGTGGGTCGCCCCGGAACCTCTCAGTAATTCTTTCTGTCCTTGTCTACAGGAGGAGTTGAAGCGAGATGACTTCGTGGGGAGGTAGCAACGAGGGCTGTCACCATGTAACATTGTAACATGAATCTGGGCAGCGTCATCGTTTACATCACAGCCCTGCTCTGGCTGCACCTCACTGACGCGAAACTTGGTAAGTTTATTCTTTGTAAATCATCTGAATCTCATCTGAATCTCATCATGCTCACCCAAACTTATATTTTATAAGTAACTCTAGTCCGTATGTCTGTCAACCCCTGAACCGATGTAGAACCGAATTATTCCGTTATACATATTTAATCCGGTTATCATAGTTTTTATTACTGTTTTGGAAGGGAAACGCGAGCGTGATATATTGTCTGTAGTAGAGCTAAATGCGACAGCGGCAAAAGCGCGGTACTTAAATAGCTAGTTTTAAATAGGTATTAAATATAATATTTCTATCTGTCGGTTACCTTTTTTTCACGTCTAAATTGTTTAACCAGTTTTAATGAATTTGTAAAAAATAATTTTACTATGAGTCGTTTGTCACAGAAGCGCTATGCCATGCTAAACCCATTAAACCCCAAGCGGTAACAATTGATTTCTATTGTGTCTCGATTCGCAGGGCTTGAAGGGATAAAAATAAACTATTGCCTAACATTTAAGTCTTAGTTCATAAAAATGCATATAACCTATTATTTTGTTCCAGGTTACTTTTGGCACATCACGGACTTCCACTATGACCCGTTCCACAACTCGCCGGAACTGCACAGAGGTGAGTATTTATTAGACCATATTTTTTTCAGTAACTTTCTCTTCATTTGTGCCAAATTCTGTGGAGATCTCTTTGTGAAATTTTGTAACGATATAATGCTTTGTTATGTAGGTATTTCACAGCACAACACAATTTGTATCTTATCGCATTTTTTACCACTACATTAATTATTGCAAAATATCATTTATTCGCACTAAATAAATTTCACAGTGCTTAGTTTGATGTTCGGTAGTATGTACTTTTAAGCATACTTACATAAATTAATAAGATAAACATAGAACACAATGGAAAATGTAAAAGCTATAAATTATTTCAACTATTAAATCCTTGTACAATGCACATTCTGGTGAAAAAGAAACCTTTTGTAAAGGAATTTCATGATAAATGTAAATTTTGTCATAAAGTCATGCTTCATTCCATGAAACATGAAACGCACGTACCTATTCAATATGCCAGCGACTTTATTAATTCTGTAAATTTCAGTAGGTTAATGTAAAGTAATACAGCCAAAACCGTTATTGGTTGCCCGCCAATCAGCGCTTATTTTTAATCACGGTGCTGAATTTCATCTCAATCCATTAAGCGTTATTACGTTGTGAGCGAGCGATGTATTAAATAATCAAATTAATTAGTTAAATACCCGTGATTATCCTATTTACTTAATTATCTATTCGTGATAAGGGTTCGAACTAAACTACAACATTTCGGCGCTGACCTTCGAATAAAATTATTAGTTTATACTTGTTAATCGAGTTTAATTCAATTTTGAATCACTAATACTCTAGTCTGTACTGAACCATTTTAAACATCTGGTTCTAGCAGAATAGAATAGAAACATTTATCTTTCCCTAGATTATGTAAGAAATGACTGCCTAGGCGCAGTCCACCGATTTTTAGCTAGCCGATACTTGGGCCCGATTCTAATTTGTATGAAGATTCGGCCGATATCAAATCGGTGTAATGTGCTCACTATCATACATCCCCATACTGATTAACTGCCCGACTAAACTATCGGCCGATATATTAAAATCGTTGGTCTGCGCCTAGGTTAAGAGAGAAATATGCGAACATCAGGCGTCCCAAGTCCCGTCTAGCCAGCGTGGGGAGTGTAGACCAAATCCGTTTGCTTCTAGTAAATTAGAGAAAGGCTGATGTTCTTGTAGTGGAGACTAAATAAATGACGACAAAGATGATAGTGATGGTAGTTTGGACATTCTAAAACATGCCAAAGCGTAACCCGCACTATGTAAAGTTTCTTAGCATAAATAGCAACCATGAAACTTTTGCACGAGCTATACTATAATATTGGAGCACATTATACTCGCGCAAGATCAACTAAATAATGTTTCAACCTTAGTTCTAGCCAACTTTGTCTCCATTTGCCAGCTGCATGGTTATTTACCGTATTAATACGACACATACGACCGTGTTGCATAAACCCATTTTCGCTGCATTGAGATTCACAGTGTATTTAGCTATAATATAAATGTTAACAGTAGGTTGACTTCATATTTTCACACGTATTTCTTGCACGAAAAATGGACGATGGATTAGAATTTATTGTGTTTATTTTGGGAAATTGTGCTTAGGGCGCGTTCATCATCATTTTAGCCATAAGGCTCGTTTGGATCGATATTTTGCTGGACATTTGAGTGAACGTATATTAAAAGATGTTATACATTCAACGTTTGAACGTTAATATAAGAACGGAAGAACGGGTTGTACCTATCCGTGGGAACTAGCCCTTAGTTCACGAATAGATGGCGCATGAGAAGTCACAGCTATCAGTGCCGAGAAGAAGCAACGCAAGAAACTTAGTCACTATTGTCAGTCTCTTTTTCAATTTCATAGATTTTCGTTTGATAGAGTAGTACAAAAAAGTTGACTCTATCTAAATGGAACTCAAAAGTTCAAATAATTGGACTAATGTGATCCCACTGGATGTATTTGTATTCTAATTTAGCACACTGTTATTCCAACTGTTTAGCTCGTTCGTTTGCTTTCACAACTTTTCATATAAATTCGTACTGCGAAAGCAACTCTATGATAACATTTGAGTAATGCTCAAATTTGAGACGTGTGTGCTCAGCACAAAGTTTAATATAAGTATCAACAGTATAGAGCTGTTTGTGTTGTGCTAACAAATATTAATTATTTTAGAACGCTGCCAAGGGAGCTTAGACAGTTTGTTTTTATGGTCTGAACTAATTTTGATAATAAGTGCTTATCTAAATTTTGCTTATTAAATTGGTACTAAATTTTCAGAGTAGTGTCATGCAATATAATATTAGTAAACAGATAGCCAAGTAAGTTTCATTTGTGCAAACTTTTACATAATGTATCATCGATATAAACGAACGTTCAACCAAACTATTTTAACCAAAATATTGGAAGCATGAGGTAATTCAATTCATTCATTAATATTATGTTATATTCTTTTGTTTCATTAATTTAATAAAGGTATGTCGTATGACTTAGGTACACCTTAGAACATAACTTTTGGTGTAACTTATTTATTTTGCACTCGTATTTATCTTACTGATAACACATTGATGTGCTAATAAAACGTATATTTGGCTAACATGCGCAAAGCACACATAATATACTCAACATCAAATAAACCGCACCTTCCGCGACGCGAACTTTAACGATTTTCTTCTGACACAATCATGGTGCCCCAACAATATTGGTGTTATTTGAAAGCCCAATAAATATCCTAAAAGAAAAACACATTTAATTTCTTAACAAATGATTAACATATACCATAAATGTGACTTGAAAAAATACCTCACTTTGGGCCCACCTATGGGATCAATCAGACCAATTTTTATGGTTATAAAACCAAATAATGATCTCACGTGTCCTCTTTAACAGATGGATAGCGATTAATCCCAACTTATCAGTTTTATAGCCATAAAAGTTGGCTTTAGCGTAACTACCTATTTTTTGAAGAAGTGACTCTGGATCCTTCCCTAGACACATTTTTGGGGTAAAAACCATTCCTTTAATGAAATGAAGGTTAGAACTAGGCTTTTAAATGGTGCCAATATTGGTGGGAAGTGGGGATGCATACGTTTGAAAATGCTTGTCGCGGAAGGTGCGATTTATTTGATGTCGAGTGTATATTATTATCTGAAGATGAAGAGCGGAGATTAGTGTCCTAAGCCAACAACAGCTTCAGTTCAGGCTAAAGTCATACCTAGACATGGCAACTAGTTTGTGATGACAATGTCCTCGTATAATTTAGAACCACTTGTGTTACTGTTTGTGTTGGTGTTACTTTTTGCAATGGCAATGGATGCAGCATCACGAATTTGCGACTTCATGCGTTTGGATGCGGTATCGGAATCGTTTTTTTTTATAAAAAGCGACTGCTGTCGCTGAGTCGAGCTTCCGAAAAGGGCTTTTTAAGGCAGCGCACAATAGGCGATAAACGCGGCAACAAGACGCGTTATTTATATTAGCTTGTCGTCGTCGCGACAGACTGTTGCTAAGTGTGCAGCGTGGAAGCTTCTAAAAAGCGGCTAAATCGCCGATCGCTGATGCTGAAGAGTAGCGTGTGCAGTGTCTCTTAGTTATGAAAGCTAGATATATGATCGTGTTACGAGTGGGTTCACCACAATAGTCTAGCGACGGGGCTTGAAACAGCGTTCCTCGGATAAAAAACTCATTTATTTTTGTAAAGTAGGCTTTTAAAGAGCACTTTTACACGTCCTAGTATTAACCCTACCTCTGCTTTGGGACAATAAATGGGCCAGTGATCTTGAATCAGTTCGATACCGACACCGTTGGGCCAAAATGTCATCTAATATCTATATCTGTAAGTTAATTTATCACTCTTTAGTCACAGAAATAAATTTCATCAATTTTGGTAAAGTGATAAATGGGATCTAGAAAAGGGATAGCTTTTACCGCAAATATAAATCCTAAGTGGGCGTTTTAGAGGTGAAAGTTTAGTTAAGGAACAAATAAATTTCGCAAGTATTTGAACAGTATTAAAACTTGAGTTGTTTCTGAATGTTTTAGAAGAGTTTTGTTGTCATAATTTGAGATAAATACTGTCTTTTATAATTTGACTCCGATGGGAGAGGCCACTGGTAAAGGCTAGTAAATAACTTTATTATTTGTGAAAACATTAAAACTTGTGTAGAGTTCAAACCCGACTACATAGTAATCCGGTACGTGACCAACTACATCAATGGGCCATAATATTAAAATAACTGTTCAGTCAAAATATACGTTCAATATTTAGCTGACTCTCATAAAGTTACGTATGTAAATGAAACAGATAACTATCTTCGGCTCTCAACAGTTTTAGCTGCGGCCAACTAGTGCTTATGTGGCGTGGTAACTAAACTTAATAGTGCTGAACAAGAGAGCTGTTAATAGGTACCTTTCAATTGATTATCATGTAATACATTAGTTAAAAATAAAATTATGTATGAATGAGAAAATCTATACAGGCTGCTAAACCAATATTGGCGAATTTGGTCGGAATTGGTAAACCTATTATCTACTTAAAAGAAGGACATTAACCACATTTTTTTTGCTAAACCAAATCTTAAGAGGGTAAATAGGGAAATCGTGAGTAGAGGTAGAGAAACTATTAGTGAAATAAAATCTCATTTTAATATAATATAAATTACTTTCAAATTAGTTTTCAAACACCTCAGTACATGAATAATATGAAAATCCAGTTTAATCTTTAAAGGAAATATCAAAATAAAATACTTTTTAAACCTACAACAACTCGCACTAAAGATTGTTTGAGGGTATCGCACCAAAATAGCGTCAAGGATTGCAAACGGTGTTACGTCTATCTGGTGTCTGGAGGATAAATTGCCGTGCCTTTTCCGGGCTCGATGTAGATTGGTGGTATATTTTTGGCCAATAGCCAACGTTGGTTTAGAGTTTAAAGTGGAAAACACACCAAGGGATAAGCTAAGTTGGTTTAGTGACTTAGTAAAAGAGTTAGGCCCAGAACAGACAGTGAAACGCAACTGCAACGAAACTGCAACTTTCTGATGATTCTTATGAATGAAACTGAAACTGAAAGTTTCAAACTGGTCGCGTCATGTGTGGTCTCTCAACGGACGCTATGGCCGAAACTTAGATGCAACTCAAAAGTAACTAGCAGTTGCAGTTTCGTTGCAGTTGCGTTTAACCGTCTGTTCTGGGCCTTACGCTAAGGCTGAGTTGCACCACCTAACTTTAACCGTAAGTATAACGATAACCAGTGTTTTTCGTATGGAGTTTGACAGATTTTTGACGTTTGTCAAGATTGAAGTAAGATGGTGCAACCCAGCTTAAGTCAAATTGCTGTTAGTACATTAGGTCCGGTTTCCACCAAAACTTAGAGACAAGAGAAGATGTGTTTCGAATATGAATAAATAAGCGATTATGGAAATATGGAAATCTGAATCTGATTGGTTTTTCTCCATCATCTTTCTCTTTAATGGAAAATGAGCATCAACCAATTTAGTAGAAATTGTAATTCAACCAGCTTATTTTCTTGTAGAATTCATTACAATTATCGAATCCTTTCTTAAGTAGGTAAATTCTGAAATAAGATAAATAGAACTGAAATAAAATTGACGTAGGTACCACAACTTTGAATAATTACTCTTTTTATCTTGTTCACACTGAGTACTACTTGTGTTTTATCTTATCTGTTCATCTTTAAGTCCAAAATATTCATTCTTAGGAAGCATTCTTCGCAAAATTCTTCAGCAGAAACCACTGCTTGATAAGATCGCTAGCAGAACTTGCTTTATTTAACATGCAAGGAAAATCGAGTCTCTAAAATCCGAGACTTGAAGAATCTTTTGTTGGGAAATTTGTGTTTTATAAAATAGGTCAAGTCAAGCAAGAATCCTTCTTTCTCATATTTATTCAGGTCAACGGCGGATCTAGTTTCACAAGTACAAAATAAGTATTTGGCTACTGTTTTGTTACGAGGTGGTTCTTTTTGTTGGTTGTCGCGCATTTTCTATCTAATCCAACAAATAGCGACACAACTTTTCGAAAGTTTTTAACAAAGTGTGGTGTGTACCTACCAGCATTCAAAAGTAGAACCTACATTCCTTTAAGTCATTGTATTGAGTGCCTTTGAGACTGCTTTGATAAACTAACAGAGTTACTTTAAAAAGCTTTACAAAGTTCAGACTGGCTCTATGTTTGTTTTATCGAGTAGGAAATCTTGACAACCATAATGAGTACCTACCGAATATGAAGACTGAAACTAGTTTTAAACATGCCCACTTAAGTACATTTTCACTCATTTTCAGATGACCTTTGAGCCCTTGAGTAAAAATATATAAGATGGATGGAAACGTATTATTATTAACCCTAAACAATATCCACATTTGAACTTTACTCCACCTAAACCAAGTTCAAAAATGTCTTCAATCCAGTCACCTCCCGCTAACTAAAACCTTTTGTTGCAGGCTGCAAGCACAGTCGGAACAACAACGAGCACAGCCACCGCAACGGCCGCCACCGCGACCACACCTGCGATAGCTCGTGGCGCCTGATACAGAGCGCCGCGACTTTCATGGCCGAGCGACATCCCGACACGCTGGAGTTCGTGCTTTGGACTGGGTGAGAACGATCACTTGAACTGTCACGGTATTCAATAAAACAATAGAGCATCTGAGTCCAATTGTCAAAGGCCGCCACCGCGACCACGCGTGCGATAGCTCGTGGCGCCTGATACAGAGCGAGCGCCACGACCTTCATTGCCGAGCGACACACTGGAGTTCGTGCTTTGGACTGGGTGAGAATTACGTCTTGAAGTCACTTCAAGCAGTAAATTACAATATTAAGTACAATTCCAAGACGGGCCGCAGACCGCAAACTGCAAAACTCTATGAAATCTGCAGCGGGGTGCGCGATCTGCGGCCCACCTTGGAATTACCTTGGAAGTAGGTACCTTTAAGCGATCGAACAAAACAATTCTGTCACAAAATGAGGCAAAATACGTCAATCGTCGCTGATACGATATAAGGCCAAACTACTGTCACGATACTATCGATGTTAGGCACACCATTAAAATATCTGAGTCTAAAGGCCATAATGACCCTTGGACTCAGATATTTCAATTTATAATTGCCAACAATGCAAATAAGAAATATTTGACCATTTAGATTAAAACATCAAGAGTGACACACATTTTAAGTTAAAATGCAGGTCATATTATAAAACGCTTACATGGAACATCTGCAAGTCGTTCTCAAATAAAGATCCTTTATAGCCAATAGTCTGCAGTTTTAGGCAACATTTGTAAGAAACTATATAAAGTCACATTCCCAGTTTTGCTTTGTATTGCTAACCAAACAATCCCATTTAAGCCCAGGTATTACCTAAGGAAATACGTACTGAACGTATGCAAAACTTCAATCCAAAGTCAATTTGCTCACCGAGTTACCGTTGTGCCGACAAAAGCACAAACATTGGCGTGCCAAAGGATTTATGAAATGTAACGACAGAACGGAAATGACGACGCGAGTGGAACCGAAAAATGCTCAACGGAATGTTCCCCGCTCCAGTAATACGGGTGTTTGGGATAAAAATTTCGGACATCGGCAGATGCAGTTATTTCCGGTCGGCAATTCGGGACGAGAAGTCTTTTGATTTTCATTTTGGTGTAAAATCTTTGTTGGAGCTTTTGAATTAGTTTAATTGGAACTGGGTCATGTCCAATTTATCTGCTGTTATTATCATCAATACCAATACAGGACGTAATCCCTTCTACATTAAGTTATCTAGACCTGTTACCGTGATATTAGTACCGTAATGTCAAACAATTCCTTAATTCTGACATCATCCACCTTATCTAGTTATCCTAGTAAAAACCCTCTCCAAAAGGTAAAAATTTGCAGATCTATCTATGTTTAGTTACGAGGTCTACCACAGAAACTAAATCTGACCCATCTTCCTCAGGGATATCCTCTCCTCATCAATGGAGCATATGCCAGAGGAATACAAGTTGGAAGCGGTCCGCAACGTGACGGAGTTGCTCAGTCGGACGTTCAGCAGCCAGTTTGTGTTCCCAGCGCTGGGCCACAATGACCCACCGCCTTCGAGGAGGCTGGTGGACATGTGGATGCAGTGGTTGCCCACAGATGCGCTGAATACTTTTGAGACAGGTGAGTTTTCTAACCCAATACTCGAAAATGTTTTCAAAATGCAGAAGATTCTTAAGCTGGGTTGCACCATCTTACTTTAACTTTGACAAACGTCAAATCTGTCAATCTCCATACAAAATACACCGGTTATCGTCATAGTTACGGCCAAAGTTAGGTGGTGCAACTCAGCCTTAGAAAGTTTCTGTACTTGCTTCAAGAATATCTATCAGCTACTGACAACCATCTACCAAATAACTGCTACCAATTGAAACCAATTAATACTTAATCATTCACAGTTTTATGTGTTTAAACTTTTCCATAGCTTGGCACCCGTTATACTGAGCCATTGATCGAACTTCAAATTCTTTCTCAGGAGGATACTACACAATAGACCAGTCTCACACCAAACTCCTGATAGTAGTGCTCAATAGTGTACTCTGGGCCGGTGGTGCAGCCAGGACTGATGGCCCCCACTCTCACAGGGGGAGGGCGCAGTGGGAGTGGTTAGAAAAAGTCCTTTTAAAGGCTAGGACGACCAATAAAATGGTAAGTCTACCTTTACTTTGCATATTCTCCCGGCAAAATAATTTACCTTCTTCATGCATTCCCTTTTTTTTGGCCAGGTCTACCTAGTAGGTCACGCGGGTCCAGGAGTGGAAGAACGTCATAACGCTGGTAGTTCTTCAGCATCAGGTGGAGGGGAGCTGACTCCATCAGCCAATGGCAGACTGCTGCATATCATAAAGGCGTTCAGCGATATCATTGTTGGGCAGTTCTATGGGCATCGGCATGCGGACACCTTCAGGCTCATTTATAGAGAAGGTACTAACTATTGACACCATGAAAAATCTTTAACTGTTCATCTTGCATCTGCTCGTAGTGCTCTTATTTATGAATGCTTAGATATTTAATATTATTATTATGATGACAATGAAAGAAATGGTTCTAGTGTAGTGATTTTATATCACGTTGCCTTTTGTAATTTTTTCTGAGTTTTCTAAATGTTGTTCAGGGCGTCCAGTGTCATGGGCTTTTCTGGCTCCTTCAGTCACTCCAAGAGGTGCGGGAAGCATATCAAATCCAGGATTAAGGTTATATAAGTTTGACTCCAATACTGGAAAGGTACATTCTTATTTCAGTTCAAATATTATCATTAATTTCTAAAGATTAAGCAGTACAAGATATTAATACTACTTATCTGTTTCAGGTATTGGACTATACGCAGTATTATTTAGATGTAACTAACTCCAGGGGGGAAGTCCACTGGGCCATAGAGTATAATTTGACGCAGTATTACGGGCTGAGGGAAGTGAGTGCAAACTCCCTGGAAGTCTTAGCTGATAGGATAAGGAATTACAATGATCGAGGAGTGTTTTCTAAGTAAGTATGCAAAAGCAACATAATCATGCATATAATTTTTTTGTATTTAAATATTTTACATTCTGATTTTATATGTAGAGTAATCTTAATTGTCTATAGCTAACTTAATTACTCCAAACCCATTTCTTACTATTATACATCAATATTGATCAATGAAAGAATCACAGAACACGCAGTTCTTCTGGCCCCACTAGATTCACATTCGTGAAGCACGGCTTTGCCTCGAGTTTTTTGAGAAGTACATGTTATAATGAATCTGTGACGAATGTTACTTGTCTAGGCGAGCTGGGGCTTAGTCTTAAGTTATTCTCTTCATTTCAAAGTTATTGAGACCATGTTCTTTTTGTCCAGATACCTAACAGCGTTGCGCGTGCGGCACAACCACGACGTATCGGACTGCGACTCCGCGTGTGCGCATGTTCACTACTGCGCGATCACCAGAGCGGACTACCACGAGTTTCGCGCGTGCGTCCGCAACCCGGCGTCGGCGCTGGCGTCGCGCGCGCCTCATACCTCCGCCGCCATCTTGTTGTACGCCATTTTGATTTTGATTTCGTCGTAAAGTTTCATGTTAGTTTGATTTCCATTCTTGATACTTTTGGCATCAGTTTTACGGATTTTCAACCGACTTCAAAAAAGGAGGAGGTTCTCAATTCGACCCGTATTTTTTTTTTTTTTTTCTATGTTTGTTACGCGATAACTCCGCCAATTATGAACCGATGTGAACAAATCTTTTTTCGGCGTATAGGTAATACCTCAAGGGTGGTCCCATTTAAATTTAATAATAGAAAAAACAACCCCCAAGGGTGGAAAATTGGGGATGAACTTTTTTATACGCAATATCTCCGCCGATTGTAAATCAATTTGAACGATTATTTTTTTGTTGAATAGGTATTATCAAAAGGGTGGTTTCATGCGAATTTGAAGAAAATATTTCACCCCCAAGGGTGGAAAATTGGGGATGAATTTTTTATACGCAATATTTTTAATTTTTAGTTTTTTTTTGTGTTCACGCATTTGAAGTCGGTTTTATTTTTTTTAAAAGTTATTTTAATCAAGAAAACTAAAATAGTTCCAATCAGACATTCAACTATAGTTAAAAACTAAAAAGTAGAGCTCAACCTACCTTCTCTTGATCTGCTAATTCAAATGTCACGCGTGACTGCTATTGTATCGATATAAAAAAGTATCAAAAATGTTAATCCTCGTAGTAATAATTGACAGAGTTAGTACAGTACAGTCAGTTGCACAAAATTTGGTACACTTTTAAAACTTTGAAAATTCTACAAAGTGTCTAGGTTTCAGTGCATTTGACTCTACATCAGTGTTAAATAAGGATTAAGTGTAAAGCTTACTATGGTAACCGATCTTATTGGAATACTTAAATTTTACCCAACTGATTCTCATTTTATATTATTTTTTATAAAGCCTTCAGATTGTTGTAGAAGTAAATATAATAATAGATCGATACCTCTGGGCTCAAAGGTCGTAAAGGACAAAGTACGACTTTTCAGGAGAAGCAAAAAACGTTTTTTTATTTTTTTATTCGATAGTAACTTTTTTGTTTTTAGAGTTATTAAAATATGACCTAGGAAGAAAGTGCTTAGAATTCACAGCATTTTCCGAGGAGGTATTGAAAAACTGGACTAGAGCAGTATTTACTGAGATAAATTTCCTTTACGCCCTCAAAATTACAATAAAAAGACCTTTACGCCCCTCAAATATTCGTCCTAGGCAAGTTACTTGGGACGTAAGTCTATTTTTATTTCACAAAACTACAAAACCAAGGTAGTAAATGACAATTTACATAGTTTTATAGGTTTTCATAGGTCGTAACGGAACACCCAGGTAAGGTATTATGCAAGGGTAAATTGATAATTTAGCTTAAATATTTAATGTGTTATGGTATTTGATATGCAATCTACCATTTCTTCACATATTTTAAATGAATTATGGTCTTTTAAATGAAATAAAATGATTTTTCGTCGCTTTATAATTTAATGCACACAATTTATGAAACTATTTAAGCAGAAGTTTTGATATCTTCGAACTAGAAGATACCATTTCCGAAATAAGAGCGAATTTAGAAAATAAATATTATGACGCTTTTAAATAAAACTTCATAAATGTCTACTTTATATGAAAAGCCGACACCAATTTGATTTTATTTATTTATTTAATCATTATTATTGTTTCGAAAAACTACAAATGGCGGACTTAATTTCATAGGGCAGTCTGTAAACCAGTTGATCTTATGATAATGCAGATAGGATAGAATTATTAAGGACAAACGAAAACTAAACTATAATTATTCTAAATTCTAAATAGATTAAACATTATTATTCATAGTAGCTTGAAATTATGTCATTGTACTTGGTACAAAAGTAGAAAGTTTAGGTAAGAAAGATTACAAGAAGAAAGTTTTTCATTCCAGTAAAGTACATCCACTTACTTTACCCCTACATAATACCGTTTTTAAAAGCCAATTATTATTTTTAATATAAAAATGTAACTGAAAAAAAAGTGCATTCACGCTTTTTAGTAGATTATGTCTCAGCTGACACTATATTTTCCCATGTTGGTTTCAAAAGTTTTTCCTACTAGTTATATTTATACGCTGATCCAAATAACTTTAGAAACTACACTTATTTATTATAATTATTACAGTCAAAACTCAAAAGTGGTTTTGACCGAGAGCGTTAGTCAAAATTACTAGGAAATCATTAAAAACAATTGTAAAATGTAGCATTTGTGTGATTTGTGCATACAAAATAATGACACCTTAAGGTAGGTACGTATGTACCTTATTTTGCAAGTGACTTTTTTTTGAGTGAGTAGTAAGGTGACTTTATTTTCGTAATATTTTTAACAAATCTAACTTTTTCATTTTTAATACGTTATTATTTATTTTATAGCATGTTTTCATTTTCTTAAATCATTTTTTAAAATTATCTTTTACCTGACAAATACCTAGTTTATTCAAATATGAGAAATAATAAAAAGCAACATTACTTTACCCGGTGTGGGTGGATGTCATCATTTTATATGTACAAATCACAATAAATGTTACACTCTAAAATAGTTTTATTACATATTTTTGATGACTTTTTTAGTTCTTTCGTTTGTTCCAAACGCACATACTTAAATACAATAAGAAACGTCTATAAATTTTACCTTTTCAGTTATTTTAATGCAGATTTTTAAAATATTTGTTTAGATAATCTAAGGGCGTAAAGGACAAATTATTTAGACTTTGGTATGAAAATGTTAGGTCGTATAGGACAATAGATATACTACATGTATATTATACGCCCAGAAATTTGTGTTTACTTGTTCTTTACTACCATGGTAACTGTACTAAAAAATCAAATGGTATTTACATCCCAATTTTCACGATGAATTCTGTTTAGCTTATCAAATATGATGGGTCGTAAAGGCACTTTTTTTGGGAAATTCGACAAACTAAATATACAGATCGATAGAGAATTAAATTCTGAGTAAAACTGTATAAATAACTCATTTTCGGTATTTTGTCCTTTACGACCTTTGAGCCCAGAGGTATCGATATGTACCTACTTGTATAAAAATTAATGGTTGAACTAGTTCAGATGCAAGAGATTATTGTATAGAACTTATACTCTTCAATGTAACTAGGGTTTAATTATATTTATGTGATTCTCGTCGCTATTTGATTGTGATATAACTAAATTTTGTATATAAAAGTAAGCGAACTGAAATCAATGTAAGAAAATAAATTGGGACATTTATGAACTAAGTGTTTTTTTTTTTACTTTCACACTTTACATTTCGTAGTTCAGTAAACCAATATTTATTTCTATAAAAGTAACAGAATTAGAGTTCCAGGCAAAAAAAAACATATTTTGAAGATCAGGTAGGGTTAAGCCGCGGTCTTAAGCAGTTCCTGATAAATTGACTTTAAATTAAATATTCATGATGCATTATCATCATTAATACACAATCTTGTTAGTACTATAAGGCTGGGTTGCAAAATCTTACTTTAACTTTAAGAAACGTCAAAAGTCTGTCGAACTCCATACGAAAAACACCGGTTATGGTCACAATTAAAATAAGGTGGCGCAACTCAGCCTAGTATTTTAAAACTAGCTTGTCAACTGACTTTCAATAAGAAATCTCCCATTTTCCCCGGGGATTTTCTTAACTAACAAGCAAAAATACTCGCTCAGCGATTCTATTTAACACCGAGGTAAAAGAAACGAAACCAAACAAAGGTCGAGTCTAGTCTTAAGTCTAAAGTATAAGGTATCCATCTGTCTCCAGCAAGCAAAGTAGGTCTAACAATACAACGGTTTTTTCTTTGTAAAAAATAAGTAATGGCAACATTTCATCTTATTGTTGAACCACAATACCTCCTACATTGTTTTCTGTTATAAATAACCAGCGATTTTAAATCTTCTTTTGAACGTCTACTTGTAGGTCTTGCCCAACTTTATTCAAACTGTTTTTTTCTTACTATCGCAATAATTATTTGGAGCACAATAAGTACCTTTGCCGTAGCATACCATCAACTACCAAGTGACGAAGTAAGCTGCATTGACGGTAGAGTATAAAGAGGACCGACGACCTATAAAGGTAGCAGGAAGGCGCTGGATGCAGGCCGCTACCAATTATGGAAATCATTTTGGCAGGCCTATATTCAGCAGTGGACATCCTAAGGCTGACATGATTGATTGATACATTGTCTGACGTTTCGTGTTGTGTTGTCTCGTGACGCATCAGATCGAAATCGGTTTCATAGAGTAACACTTCAGAAACCATCAGGACATGACGACGCCCTAGGGTTTGAAACCGTATTTGTTCTGATGCGTCACGTCATTAAGATGTTAGACAGAAGAAACAAAAAATTAAATTTTTAAGTCATGTTAAATGTGCTGTAAACAGAACTTCAATCTAGACACTGAAGCATCTTACGACGTTGTAATAAGTACGATTTTTCAATCAAAATACTGAAGCCTGTAGTGCTGTTAGAACAACCTTCGCTCTCTAGACTGCGAAGTGGAAAACTTGTGTTGTGGGTAGCAGGTAATGAAACAATGAGAAAATGGTTTTCTATGAAAGAAAATACAATACAATTTAGAATGTACGTTTTTCATTAGTACGAAATGTTGAAGTAACATTATTTTTTGCTTGTAATACAAACTCTGCCTCCTTGATATGGTAGGTATAGCATGCTCTACATATTCGTACGTAGGTACTGATAATATGAATAAATACAATTTCATTTATCCTTTAACAATTACAAAAAAAAACTCCAGTGAAAATTGGCCAAATAAATTTCTTTCAAAATAAACATAGATAGGTACCATCTTATTTTTATTAGCTTTACATACTGGACACAAACTAATAAATGTGTCGTAGAAATCGCGTGCATTCCTTACTTAATTAATAACTTAATATTATTCTGTTTACGTTCACTATCATAATAAGTAATATTTAATGAAAGACAAAAATAGTGTCTCATTTTAGATCGGATCGCAAGGCGGCTAGAGCTCATCCCTTATTTCGTATATTTTTGTAAGGGTGCCGGTGTGTGGTACTATTATTAATCTGCAGTAGTTCGTGTAGGGGTCATCTGTCACTGAACACGTAAACTGCTAGTTTTTGGAGCGATAACTTCTAATTTTTGCAACGCAGCAGGTTTTCTTCGTTGTTGAATACAAATACAAGTTTCTTCTGTTATATTATTTACCTACCTACATACATACGGTAATCACGGATGACATGAAGTGGTAAGTATTAAAATGACATGATAATACGTCTGTATCATCATCATCATCATTTCAGCCACAGGACGTCCACTGCTGAACATAGGCCTCCCCCAATGACTTCCACATCGCGCGGTTGGTAGCGGCCTGCATCCAGCGCCTTCCTGCTACCTTTATCAGGTCGTCGGTCCACCTTCGTCTAATAATCTACGTCTGTATAATTTATTTTAATTAAGCAGAAGCCAAGAAAACAAAAAAAAATATGACGTTAGCAAGAAAGGAACACTCCATGACAAAGAACACACAGTCTCGCGTTTAAACATGTCTGTTGGTAAATAGGTACTTCAGAATACACTAGAGTAATAAATATAAAACCAATTTGATAACAAATTGTACATATCCTTTATAATGGGGATGTTGCCTGGGTCAAAAAGCAAGAGTTTTAATTAGTCCGTCAGTTAACTTATCAAAAAATACTCTACACGTATTTTTCACTTTTTCAAACTAATGAAAATTTAAAAGATAAAGCGCCCCAAAGTTCATAAGAAGAGGCCCGTGACGTCAACGCTTGCTTAAA